CCGAGACTGGGGTTAATTAATGTTTAGTAAATATATAAGAGTAGCCTATACATAAAAATAATGACTATGTGTAGTTTGGAACCACATTGAGCTGAGTTCAACACATTTCTATTATCTTCTTGGTTCTTTCGGTAAAGTCACGTAGAAGGGAAGTAATAAAATAATAAAAATAAAACATAATAAAATAATTCTCACGACGTTTCGGCCACAACGCAAGCAGCCGTCCTCAGGTGAAAACCAGGTCTGTCGGGGAGACAGCGTCTGAATAAAACAGCACACGAGCTTGGAGCATCTATATATATAAAATCGTGAATGTCTGTCTGTCTGTGTGTGTGTGGATTTCGGCCCATACGCACTTTCATTGGAAGGCGGTTGCCCCTGGCAACGGCTAGCCACGCCTTGGCCGCTTTCATTGGACCTGGCAACGGCTAGCGACGCCTTCGCCAAGGGCTGCAGTTTCATTGGACGGCGGTTGCCCCTGCCAACGGCTAGCCACGCCTTCGCCACTTTCATAAGCTCCGTATTTAATTAAATAATAGCCATTACACAGTATTGTTGGAGCGCTAGGGGGGGGGGAAGGAACGCCACCCGTACCCTGCCTCTTCCAAGCCGACAATTTTAGGCGAGGCCGCAGGCTTTGCACGCTACTAGGCCTCGACACCCACCACGCCACTCTGAGGTAAATTCATCAAAGTTTTTCCTACTCTTCACTACACCCCCACCACAATGTGTGCTATTAATATTACTTTTAAACCCAACGCGCCAACAATCGATTACTTTAATGTTCACTGTACAAATACTCATTAAGCTGGGTGAGCGTACTGCCAGTCTATCATGTACACTGTAGCCTGCTTATTAAGCTCGGTGAGCGTACTGCCACTCTATCATGTACACTCTAGCCTGCTTATGAAGCTGAGTGCGTGTACTGGCAGTCTATAATGTGGACTCTTGCCTGGTTATTATAATCGATTCTTTATATGTTCTTTGTACAAACACTCATTAAGCTGCTTGAGCGACCCCAGTTCGATTCCAACTCACGCCCACCACCGCTGACGATTATTTGAAACGGACCTGGCCCTCCCCTAGGTCCACTCAGCCTCAAACGCGTAACTGCTGTCGTGTGTGAACATCGTCACTGGGGAGACAAAGGCGGCCGGGCATCGTGGATCCAAGTCCCGGGCGAAGCCGGGTCATGTGTATGTGTGTTTGTGTTTATGTGTATGTCTGTGTGTCTCTATGTATGTGTGTATGTATGTGTATGTATGTGTTTGTGTGTATGTGTGTGTGTATGTATGTGGGTTTTTTTGTATGTCTTTATGTGTATGTCTGCGTGTCTCTATGTATGTGTGTATGTACGTGTGTGCATGTGTTTGTGTGTATGTATGTGTGTGTCTATGTATGTGTGTGTATGTGTTTCTGTGTATGTATGTGTGTGTATGTATGTGTGTTATGTGTCTGTCTGTGTGTCTGCATGTATGTGTGTGTGTATTGTGTATGTGTTTGTGTGCATGTATGTGTGTGTTTGTGTGTATGTGTATGTCTGTGTGTATGTATGTGTGTGTATGTGTGTGTATGTGTTTGTGTGTATGTGTGTGTATGTATGTGTGTGTATGTGTTTGTATGTGTTTGTGTGTTTACGCTCGCATTACACAAATGTGTTGCTGGCCTAAGGCGTTCCTCGCACAGCATTGCCGCTTTATTATTTCAGTCGTTTACTGCCTTACGCACCCTGAAAGTCGTGTGTGTCTGCAGCAAGCGCGTGTATGTGTACCTATGGACGCGCGCGCGTGTGTTGTGTAGGGGGAACGGTAGTGTAGTGCTTAGCGTGCTGTCTGTGTCTGTGTGTGTGTCTGTGTGTGTGTCTGTGTGTGTGCGTGTGTGGTGTGTGGGGAGCGGTAGTGTAGTGCTTAGCGTGCTGTCTGTGTGTCTGTGTGTGTGTCTGTCTGTCTGTGTGTGTCTGCGTGTGTCTGTGTGTGTGTCTGTGCGTGTGTGGTGTGTGAGGAGCGGTGGGTGTAGTGCTTAACGCTACGCTGCGCTACCAACCCGGCGAACCGAGTTCGATTCCCGCTCACGGCCACCACCGGTGACGATTATTTGAACCTCCCCTAGGTCGACTCAGCCTCAAACGAGTAACTGGTGTGGCGTATTAACATCGGCACTTGGGAGACAAAGGCGGCCGGGCGTGGTGGATCCAAGTCCCGGGCGAAACCGGGTCATGTGTATGTGTTTATGTGTATGTCTGTGTGTCTGTATGCATGTGTGTATGTATGTGTGTGTATGTGTTTGTGTGTATGTCTGTGTGTGTATGTATGTGGGTTTTTTTGTATCTGTTTATGTCTATGTCTGTGTGTCTGTATGTGTGTATGTACATGTGTGTATGTGTTTGTGTGTATGTATGTGTGTGTGTATGTATGTGTGTATGTGTTTCTGTGTATGTATGTGTGTGTATGTATGTGTGTTATGTGTGTCTCTGTGTGTCTGCATGTATGTGTGTGTGTATTGTGTATGTGTTTGTGTGTATGTATGTGTGTGTTTGTGTGTATGTGTATGTCTGTGTGTATGTATGTGTGTGTATGTGTGTGTATGTGTTTGTGTGTATGTGTGTGTATGTATGTGTTTGTATGTGTTTGTGTGTTTACGCTCGCATTACACAAATGTGTTGCAGGTCTAAGGCGTTCCTCGCGCAGCATTGCCGCTTTATTATTGCAGTCGTTTACTGCCGTGCGCACCCTGAAAGTCGTGTGTGTCTGCAGCAAGCGCGTGTATGTGTTCCTATGGACGCGCGCGCGTGTGTTGTGTAGGGGGAACGGTAGTGTAGTGCTTAGCGTGCTGTCTGTGTCTGTGTGTGTGTGTCTGTGTGTGTGTCTGTGTGTGTGCGTGTGTGGTGTGTGGGGAGCGATAGTGTAGTGCTTAGCGTGCTGTCTGTGTGTCTGTGTGTGTGTGTGTCTGTCTGTGTCTGTCTGTGTGTGTCTGCGTGTGTCTGTGTGTGTGTCTGTGTGTGTGTCTGTGCGTGTGTGGTGTGTGAGGAGCGGTGGGTGTAGTGCTTAACGCTACGCTGCGCTACCAACCCGGCGATCCCAGTTCGATTCCCGCTCACGGCCACCACCGGTGACGATTATTTGAACCTCCCCTAGGTCGACTCTGCCTCAAACGAGTAACTGCTGTAGCGTATTAACATCGCCACTGGGGAGACAAAGGCGGCCGGCCGTGGTAGATACAAGTCCCGGGCGAAACCGGGTAGTACAGCTAGTATTTTTTTATAACAGTGATTGTTAAAACGATCATGCAAAATAGTCATTAAAAACCTTTTTACCCTGGGCTGTTTTGTCATGTGGTCGTACGTCCTCTCATCAAAGTTAAATTTTAATACCATGATGTTTTCATATGCGGTAGTTTTCATTCTGATTGTTTTCATTCTGCAAATGCCAAGACTAATTTTTTATTTTAAAAAATATCTCAGATGCTCAGTGTTGCCGGTTTGCTGCAATGGGCACAGATAAAACAGCAGGGTCCCCATTTATGGGCTTCCCGGTTCGTGCCACTTCTTATCATCCCAAGCCATCAAGCCTGTTTTGTTTTCCAACTTTGTGCTCATCGTTTTGTTGCCCTTCTGGTTTTTCAACTCGCAGAACACAATGAACACACATATGTTGACAAGTAACTATGACATTCAAAATACACTTGCATTTAAAAATAAAATTAGAAAAGGCAAATACACAACAACCGATCCTGGGCCTCCCTAGGTCGACTCAGCCTCAAATGAGTACCTGGTGAAATGTGTAAACATCGATTTACTGTACAATATTTATGACGATATTACATGCAAATGTGCTATATTTCTTCTTATTTATTAGTTTAACAATGCTTCAATTATTTGTTGAACCGTAAAACAATGTATAACACTGACCTATGTGCATTTAAATACAGAATATTATTGTGTTCCGACTTACGAACGACCCCCAGGAACTGAACTTTTCCGTAAGTCAAGGACTACCGTGTAAGGCAGCGTTCATTAAAGTGTTTTGCTTTTTGCCCTGTCGGAATATATGTCACATAATATACACAAGCTGTATCATACACTTATATAAATACTACATATGCTGTTGAATGTGAAGGATTTAATTAAGTGTGTTAACGTTGCAAATTTTTACATAGCCCCTTTTATTTGTGTTTGTTTTCAGTTCGCTCCCAATTACAATGACAAATTTAAATTAATGCTATGTAGTCGTAAATCAAGGCTTTAATTTTAAAAAAATGACCACATCTGTTTGCTGTGTTGACATTGTACGTATATCGGGTGGACTGCGCGTGAAGCATTTATCTCGAGCTTTCACCCGCACGACCTTTTTCAGGAATTGAAATACGCAAAAATACGCAATCTCGCCTTGGATTCATACTTCCTGTTTGGTCTCGCGATCTTTATCACCATTCAAATGAACACATTTCTACTCTATTGATCTCCGATTGGAGATCCTGAGATGCCGACAACTTGGCCTTCATCCAGCAGTGGATGTTTATGTTTAGATTGTTGCACCTTCGCCCGTACCTCCGATTGGCACGGTTGGCTATGTGCGGTGCAAAAGAAGTTCACCGTACATACAACATGGATAATGGTTTTAACAATTGTCTGTACGTCCATAATTATGGATTTGTAGATGCTATTGCCGCAGCCACATCTATGTATTACCGTATGTTGTACTTCTTTCGCACCGTACGTAGCCAAACGTGCTCATCGGAGTTCTCTGGTTTTGGCCGAGTGCGCGTTCAACCTTAATTCCACAGGCCCCTATTTGGGCAAGGGCATCACCAAAGTAAATATGTACGTGTTGTAACAAACGTCCCACGTTGGTTTCTGCATACAGCAGCCCGACTACGACGTTCTACCCCGATAGCGCGTCAAACCAGTTTTTACTGTTTCCTCTACGAGGAATTTCACAATCTCTCCCTCCCCACCCCCACGAGAGTGTCTCTTTACACTTTAAACATTCCGAACCCGCGAATAAGCATTGCTCAACTTGCACCCGGGCAACAACTTCCGTCTCGAGAGGAAACACAATGTCACTATGAAGCGATTTGCGTAAAGAAAACGCACGTATCACTGATGAATGAACGATGCTTATGTAATTTGTTTAAATATTCATAACCGTAACACTAGCCCAAGGTGCACGAGGCGGAGACGCAACGTATCGCGGCACGCAGGGGTCCAGGTAACGCACCTGAACACCCCTTGCTCTGGGCAGCAACGGCACGGCTCACACACGCCTCTGCCTGCTGCTGCTGCTGCTCCGCGCGAGTCTACACGCGGATCGAGTGTCGCGCCAGGACTTGTGAGTCTAAAAGTCGAGTCCTTTGTCTCTCTGCTGTGGGTCCGGTCGTGAGTTTAGAGACGAGTCGGCGCTGTGAGTCTAGAGCTGAGTTCCTGTCTCTGCTGTGAGCATATAACCTCCGGCAGATTCCCTATGCTGTGTGGGTATAGTCCAGGGGTCGGCAACCTACGGCTCCGGAGCCGCATGCGGCTCTTTACGGGCTGCTTCTTGACGATATGTACAGTATGTACTCAGATGCATTGCGGCTCTTGAAATACTGAATTTTGTACCGAATTGGAAAGAAATGGCTCTTCTTGTTATTTTGGTTGCCGACCCCTGGTATAGTCGATAGCTCTGTCACTGATGTGTGATCCTACAGCCGTGTCGTCTAATTTGTTCATTTATAGTCGAGAGCCGAGTTCATTGTCTAGCTGTGCTTTGTGCGTCTAGGAGTCTCGAGTCTGCAGTCGACAGCTGAGTCTCTGTCTCTCTGTAGCTCTCGCCACTACTCGAAGGATCACGGCGAATCTCGGCTGGCATGGCTCGCCTTCACGTGCGCCTATTGCTCAGCGTGGGACTGACCCTGCTGGTGCTCGTGCTCATGAAAGAGATCATCCGACTGGAGCTCACCCCCTCCAGGTGACTGGGCACACACCCGTGTGTGGTCACACAGGAGTACCACTCAAGTGACGCATGCACATGAGAGTCATTTCAAACAAGGCCGTAACCACGGAGTCAACATTGGGGGGGGACCAAATCTTCCAGGGTGTCTGGGGGTCCCAACCCAGAAAAAATCTAAATTTGAAAACTAATTTCCTGCCTAAAATATTTAAAAAATCATTAACACATGGGATGGACTTTTTCTTTATTTTTTACAATAATATCTAATAGTGTATTGTATTACATTGCTCTGTTTTTACTTTTTTTTACCATTTTTTGTTTCATTGTATGTAATGGCAGAGATTATGGATTAATAAAGTATAACCATAACCACAATCATATAAACAGAAATCTATGCATTGATTTATATGAAGACAAGTCCAGATATTGTGGCCAAGGTTTAGCAAATTGTTGTTTTTATTTACATAGCATAGCAAATTTTTTATAGCAATATATTGGGGAGGGGGGACATTTTGAGTCCCCCCCCCCCAATATATATTATAATTACGGCATTGATTTCAAAGATCCATTTATAGTTAGCGCTGCGTGTCGGTAGCAGGTGGTCACTTTATCTCTCGTAGAGATAATCCAAGATAAATATACAACTTGAGTACAAAGTTGCGTTCCGTTAGAGACTTGCCCTATAGATACCGGCAAAGTGTTTCAAAAGATTGGCTAACACGCAGTGATAAATGTCAACTTCAGCGATAATTCATACCACATCTCTCTTACTTATTCCGTCTTGTTCATTTGAGGACATCTCTCTTCTACCACCTCTCCCTTATATCTCATCTGAATGTATCTTCTGTCACCTGTCTACGTCTTAACACATTTCCATGATATCTCTGTTAGCTCATGTGAATGCATCTCCTACCTGATATTGTATCCGAATATTTCTATCATCACGTTATCTTACTATATTTTATCACTAAAATTATATCGTATTCATCTCTCTTCTATAATCGCCCTTGTCGACATCTCTCTCATTTCACGACATTGCTGTCTCATCTGTATCTTTTTATACCTCGCTAACATTTATATTCTTTGTTTATACCTTTAATCTCACTATATCAATATGTCAGTGTACATTTCCCCTTCCATTATTACAGTGCTATCCCTTGTCTATAACTCTTCTGCCAACTGATTACGAGGTCATTCAATGAACATGGGGCTGACAGCAGCACTGGACATATGAGTCTGATGTGGACTCGGCACAGCTGACTCGTCTTCGCTGAAGTCTAAAACTAATTGTATTTTTCTTACAAAAGAGTGATCGTATTCAAGGTGGATCTAAAAAAGTTACAAGTCTTTGTAGAAGCGATTTCATTCACAGCAGTAGACAAGATGGCATTGTCGTACCTACCAGAATTATTTTGTTGATTCATTAAGGAAATACAGCGACCAGCCCAAATGAAACCGTGAAACTGATGCTTAGCTTCGAGTAACGACTTCAATGACTGCCGAATAAGGATCAATCCTTCGACGTCCTTTACAATTGAGAGGGATGCATGGAGTTCAGAAAGTGACACAGAGGTGGTAGAGATAGAATTAGATGGATCGTCACCATGCATGTGGAAAGCAGTAGAGGCCTAAGCTTGTGTTAACATCATAAAAGTCAGGCACACACTTTTGAGTTTGGTTTTGGTGGGGAGCGTAGGCAACAGCGTTGAGAGAGCAGTGGGGGGTTAATGGAGAGCTGCTCAGAAGAGGTCACATTTTTGTGGAGTTTATGGTAGAAAATGTAAAGTCAGGTTAAAGAGATGACGGAAATTCCTGCAGCCTGCCTGCAGAGCGAGCTCCATGCTTGTAGAGGTGGTTGCCAGCGGGGACAGCCACAGCTCAGGGTGCATGCCAAGTCTTAGAAAGCATGTTGAAATCGTGTTTCTCATGATAAACATGCAAGGATAAAAAAATACATATTTATTTACTATTGATTTTAATCTATTAAGTAGTTTAACACATAGGCTTTCGCGACCAATGGCATCCATAATGTTTTTTTGGGTTAGATTGTGTAAATATAAATGTGTTGTTAAACCCGCCGCTGCCCGACACAGCCAATTAGTAAGGTTTGTCACGTAAACAGAACATGTCAATTCGTTACTAGTACAGTACACCGCTGTGTTGAAGAGTAAATCCACAAATGTAAATTGTAAATGTTGTGGATTTGCTCACCAACACACCAGTGTGTTGTACTAGTAACGAATTGGCATGTTATGTTTACGTGACAAACCTTACTAATTAGCTGTGTCAGGTGGTTGCGGGTTTAATGACACATTCACGAAAGAAGAATGATACTTAATACGTGATTTAAACCACTGCGAATTTTTGCCTAAAGTAGCTATGAGAGATATTATCCATTGCACAATTATAGGCAGTGGATGGGGGTAAGTCAAAGGAAGTAGTCCATGGGCTAGAGCAAATAATCAGCACCACCTGAGGTTGCAAAACCTTAGTTACAACGATGTGTTTAATCGGCGAATACGAGTGAATTGTGTGATGACCCCATTCACTTTACCAGGTTATCACGTGATTTACTGTTGTGGGCCACATAGAGAAGTTGTAACCCCTCATGTAATTCCACCTCAGGTGGTACTGACATGTCTGGACCCATGGAATTAAAAGCGGATAATGAAATATGGCGGGTAAAAGAGAATCGTCAGAGTGAGGAGGGGGATTCCGATAATGGGATGCTACTGTGTTTGTCAAGTTGACTGGAGACACATTTTCAGGGAAGGCTGATTTCTCAACTAAATTCAGCTTAGTGTCCTTGCTGGCCAGGGCACAAGTAGTGCATGTGTTTGTCAAGTTGACTGGAGACACATTTTCAGGGAAGGCTGATTTCTCAACTAAATTCAGCTTAGTGTCCTTGCTGGCCAGGGCACAAGTAGTGCATGGTAGTGAGCGATAAAAGTGGTGAGGCTCCGTTCATACCGCAGGCTGCCATGTAGCTATCCGAGATGGAGAAGATGGGCACTCTACATCAGCAACACAAACCGAGAGAGGTCTCTTTTTGTTTTTTTGCTCTATTTCCCCCCGTTTTACTCTGATTGTACTTCATCATGTCATGCAATGAAATGTCCATTCACATTTCTTACAGAGCAGTGAAACCCTTTGTATTACAATAGCAGCCCAAGGTAGCACAAAATACAGAACTAACTACCTTTTTGAGACCTCTTCAAGGTGACCTGGTCCACACAGTATGGGACAGCATTTTACGACACACTCCGCCACTGAGGTTAAAGTTATTCGATTAACAACCTTACATAATTTAACTCTCACACCTGGAATTTGGCCAAACTAAGTGCAGAAATAAATTTAATATTGATTTTGTTTTTCGTATGCGGTCATTGGTTACTGGGCTGAGATCATCAACTCACTACATTTTAAAACACAGTTCATAGTAGTCATGTAGAGTTTATGACACGCATAGCAAGAGTTCATTCTCAGGGAAGAGAATGATTTCGAGGTGCAGGAAACTTCAAACAATGCGGGAAGGCAGTCCTAACCAGCACCAACAATTACTCAAGCTGCGTGGCCTTAAATCTGGATGTTTAACATAACTCAGAAGTCACAGGTGGCTTCCTGCATTCAAACTCAGGGGACATCAGTCAGCAGTGCCAGGTCACCGCTCCGACAACCAAACCACTCGGCCACCTCACCGAGACAACTTGTGCTGTCACGCTTTGGATTTTTAGCAGGAAAGGGTGGAGCTTTCCTATTATTTTCATAGCTATCGGCTGTGATAGCCATGTCTCTTGTGCAGAGCAGTGTTTTTTGTTATTAATGCCCAAACCCACGTGTTAACATTTTGGTGATTGGCAGCTTTTAAGGATTTCTGAGGATACCAGCACGGGAAAGCTCACGCCACTCTGGCTGACTGGTGTTTGCGAACATCATCCTATTTTAGTTGTACGTATGGACTTTTAACTTCTTTCACACCGAACGTGGCCAACCGTGCTAATCGGAGGTGACTGCGTTGAAACATGGGAGAATCCGGAGGCCCTATTAACCGTGCTGAGGTGGCAGATACCCTTCACGAATGAGCAGATCCATTGAAAAGAGGAGTTCTCTCGTCCTATTATCGTCGAGAAGTATTATTCTTACTCACTCTTATCCACAACATGGTAGTATTAAGTTAACATGCAACGCCACCCATTTGTGAACATTCACAGATAATGGGATTGATTCTATGCACAAAGGCAGCCATGTCTGCGTGTCTTTTCCACAAAATCTTGCACATGAAAGGATTAGGCAAAAGAGCTTCATTGTGGTGGTTGTGTAGTGTGGTGTGTCATGTAGTGCGATGGCATAGTGGGGTGGTGGTGTGTGGTGTGCCATGTAGTGTGGTGGAAAAGTGTGGTGGGGTAGTGTGATATTTTTCTTTCGCATGGCTGATGTAGATGCACAGCAACAACTACAATTTCACATCCAGGTGGTCAAGTCAGATAACCGCGTCAGGAGCAGCGGAGTGTATCGCTGTGATAGTCTTCTTCGTATTTATGGATCGGGCATTGCATCATTATATGTTGTATAGTCTGTTCTGGATGACCAAAGTTGCACACCACAGAGTTTTCCATTTGTGCATCAAGTATCCGCATCTGCCATGGTTTGTGCGGATGCGGTTAAGGGGGGACCATGCGCTTTGTGGAAGATCAAACCCTTCTGCGTGGGGTCTTTCACAAGATGTTTGTTTGTGAGTTATTTTGAACTCCATTCAACTCTCCAGGCTTCATTGCAGTTGAACTCGCATTGTTGAAGGTTAAGCGCATGGGTCCTAAAGGTTTTGAGTGACTTCAAACGATGACGAGGGACGTTATTGAGGTCTTGATGAACGGGAACGCAACTGTTTTCCTCGATTCGCAGGACTTCCTGGATGGTTGCAGCATTGCGGCGGATGGTTAGGGAAGAGATTTGTAGTGTGGTGGCATAGTGGGTTGGTGTATGGTGGACTGGTGATGTAGTGTGATGGCATAGTGCGGTGGTGTAGTGTTGTGTGCCATGTAATGCATTTATGTAGTGTGGTTGTGTCGTAGGATTGTGTATTATGGTGTGCCGTGCAGTGTCCTTGTGTAGTATGGTGGTGTAGTATGGTCGTGTAGTGAAGTGGTGTAGTGTGGTGTGCCATGTCGCGTGCCGTGTCGTGCCATGGCACAGCGTGGTGGGGTAGTACAGGACACCCTTGAATCTCGCGGGTTTATCGTTCGTTCATTTAAGGCTGAGGCGACCTAGGGGAGGCCCAGGACCTATTCAGATAATCGCCACTGATGTTGGGCATGAGTAGGAATCTAACTCGGGTCACCGAGTTCGTAGCGCAGCGTGCTAATCTTAGCACTACCGCCCCCACTCGCAGACAAACACACACACACCCCTGCTTTGAATAATCATCATCATTGATAGGTACAGTATTTATTCAGTCTTTATATTTCTATTTATTGTCTAGGAATGTTTTCGTATCCGGTTTTTACATGTTTATTTCAAAAAATGTTGTGTTTTTTTGCATACAGTACAGTACTTATATGCTGTCTGTTTTGGTTGTCGTGTACCCAACCCCATTAGTTAGGTAAGACGTACGTAATGAATATTGCGCGTTTGGCTTTCACGGCATTTTCAAGAACCACGTAACCCCCACGATATTCATGGGTCTCCTGTATTCTATGCCATGATTGCAGCAGTTATGCCATGATTGCAGCAGCAGAAAAAATTACACCATCATCTACATGACCATCTTATGATCATCAATCTTCATTTAAAAAATATTTTCATGATTCGCCAATATTTATCGACTGCTGGAAAATGACCTCCCCACGCTGTCAACATCCCACATAACTCTGCAATGCCAAAATCAATAGTCAGGGCCGTCCATAGCTGTGGTTGCGCGGCCCGGGACAAATACCACCATGCCCCCCGAAGCCTTAAAACTAAACCGGTAGTATTACATCTGACACCGTAACATCAAAATGAGCCCCCCCCCAAACGTGGGGCCCGGGGCAATCACCCTGATTCACCGTACCCTTGGGACGGCTCCGTCAGTGTCTTTCACGTGTGAAATGAGACAATTGGTCCCTCTCCAGTGGCCATCCCCTCGGGTGTATTCTCTTCTTTGGCTGCCATCCATCACTGTAGTCTGATCCGCACGTACACTGCAGCGCCAGCGAGCGTTGGCGGATGACATCCCCCTGCCAAACCCAATGGGAGGGAGATGGTAGTGTTCAGCAAGTGTGTACGTGAACTTATCTGTGTGGACCTTTTAGTGTCACGGCCTCGTATGCATGAGTTTGTTCCAAGTATTCCCATGTACAACATTTTCCTCAAGCATTCACTTGTCAAGCATTCCAAATTAGTACTTTCCTGACAAAGTGTCTTGAGACTCTGGATAAATCACATCATCAGCAGCATCAGCCACAGCAGCATACTAATAATGATGATCTCAATACTTGTTGGCATCATACGCATATTTTATTCATGGCAATTGCAGTTAGCTGAATGAAGTTAGAGAAGTGGTTCTTAACCTTTACTGCAGCCTGCACCCCTTTGGTTCTCATAAAGGGCGTCTCATACCCCCAGGAGGTGCATGCACGCCAGGTTAATAACCACTGATTTAGAGGATACTACGTACAACCACTGCTAGGTGGAAATTCTTATCTACGGAAATGTTGTGACTAATTGTACAACTCTAGCCACATATCACAGGAGTTTTGGAGTTTCAATTCGTCCTGCAGATAAAATAATTTGTGGATGGGAAGTCACAGGTAACAGCTCCTCCGAAAACCAACAAATGTGTGACTCTTGGTGGAATGTAAATGGGAAGAGAATTGAATGTGATTGTGGTGCTGTCAGAAGCAAAATACAATCTAGATGGGTAAATTATGACTGTTCTTCATGTGAATCTCATGCTGTACAGTAATTATAAACACATCAGTATAGTCCTGTGCAATGCATTTATTGTAAATAGTTCATTTCATGACTACTTTCCCACTCACTCCACCGACACACACTGACCAGCGCAGTAAAGTGCAGTCGAACAAGCCCCATGACCGATACAGCATGGAAATAATTTGGATTGAAGCAGTGGATTGAAGCAGTGGATAAAGTATTACTGTGGTTGCTAATGGCCTGAAACAGCTGTTCTGTAATTCGCAAATGTATGCTGCCCTCTTCTTTTTTAATAGGCACATGAAATCGCACGATATGAATATTTCAACACTCAAATTATTCTCCAACCATACATCGGAAACCCAAAACGTGGCAACGGAGAACCGACCACCAAGGAGGCACATGAGACCGAGACACAGGTGAGCTGAGCATGTTCGTACTGCGAGCACAGAAGGAAAGGTTAAACCTCATCTGTTCATTTCCATCCTAGCAACGTTGACTGAGCTTATGCCACACAACCGGAGCCCACACCCATGATCTTTTTATGAATATTATCGACATCACAACAATGCTTTACAAGTGCTGTTTTGTAGCATTTTATATTTTATGGACATTGAGAATGTTGCTCTCCATGTTAAACCCGTGTCACTGGGAAGAAGTTTTCGATTTGTTTTACAGATGTCATCCAAGCACATACACACAGAGCCATGGGAATGTCTAGCTCGGTACAGAATTTAAGGCCAGATAATCCATCTGCTAGAGAACAATTACGATGTGAATCAGGCTCCAGTGCATTTCGAAGAAATTAGTGGCAGACCTCTCCACTGTCAATGATGTCCACCCACCACTGCTAACAACATACAAGCCTAAGGCACATCATGAACATTGTTAAGCAATTGCTTTATCTTTCCCGGATTTTTTTTTTAAACCTCGGTCTTTAAAAATGTAAAGAATTGTATTCTTACTTAACTGGATAAATCTCAATAAAAGTTAATTTATGTATTCCCAGCTCTTTTCTATGAGTTGCCCGATGGTAATAATGTCACCGTTGCAACACCTGCCCTATACTGGTGTTCCCTCAAGATACATTCTGAAAAGCTACAATTGCATGGAATGTTCAGCAAAAGCAGCCCTCCAAATGTAGACGTTTAATTTCTATTCCAATTCCACAGCCGTGGCTGCTGTTCTCTACCAAATGCAGTCCTCTCCTTCATATTTCTATTGGCCATATTTAACGTCTCTTTTGCTGCTTTTGTATATTTGTACTTTGGTTCTTTTTTTCTTTCTCTGGTATTCTGCAACTCAAGAAAATTACTTTTCGCCCTATGGGTTGATGTTTTCTCAATGACTCCACCGAGTCTCGTGGTTAAACCAGTTGTGTCAGATGTCATGCACTGAACGTATGTGCCACTGCAATTCTTAACTGGTTATAAACCAGTTTTCTTAGAATTCCTCTTGCCACTATCTCTCACAAATAAGAGGACAATGCTATGCTCTAGCTCCCTATTTCTATCAGCAACTTATTTTAATCTGTTTGTGTTTGACACTGTCTCTAACACCTTTTAATGTGATTAATTTCAGCTTAGCCTGCATCCTCTTCTAATTTTTATTCTCAGCTATTGTTTGATTCAATTTCTGACCTTAACTATGGCTTTCTTTTTTTTTAACACTGACCGATGTGTCTCTTTGGCTCCTTTCACAGGGAAATGAAGGCCATCATCCGCTTGTAAAATGTCATGATGTTAAATGACTAGAGTCGTCCATCTATTTGCCTTTTAACTATCCCAAGGGCAATAATAGGTGACAAAGCCTTTGCCGTTGCAGCAGCAACGTTTTGGAAAGACTTTGTTTCCTCCCTTAACCATCGTACATTTTCAAAAAAATATCCTGAAGCAGAAAATTAATGCTGGATACAACTGCATTTGCCAATGTCATTTGTAACTTTCATCCTTACCCATGTATCGATCGTTCAATTTTTATTTGCAATTTTATTGAGGGACTGTGTGTTGTCTTGGTGTGATTTGGATCTGTTTTTTCGGTTGTTTTGCTGCCTGGCCCAAGCTTCGGAATTGGTTTCCTTATACAATTTGTACTTATATACTTTATTTAATGTATTTATTTTTAGTGATGTTTACCCTTCCTATACTTTGACCTCCTGTCGTTTTTTATTGATTGCTGTTGTAACATTCTAATCCGCCCCTACTGGACATCTGTGAAAATAGCTCATTGGATTTCTCCAGAGTCGGCTTGGTTTTGTACATTGACAGCTTCGAATGAAAACTCATAGGTGTGGGACTTTTTTACGAGCTATGAAACTTTAAAATAGCTAACATTTATTTATTATTTAAATAAACAATATTTATTTTAATATTCATTAATTTTGATATTCATGAGCCAAGAACAACAGTCCTAATGAGCGTTTGACCGTAACGCCTCCTCAGGTCGGACTTCAACACTTTGCAAGCTAACAGGAAGATAAGCCTTCGGAATTATAGTAGATTTGATAAAGCACATGCATGTAATATGGTTCAAGACAGTTTTTATAAAACATACCACTACATATTATTTTCTTTGTTATGTGTATACCTGCAATACACAATAATAATCTACATGTTTATTTTGCCTTAAAATTAAAGCATGTAATCAAGTAGCTTGCGTTTTTATCAATGGCTCTCTTCACAGCACATAGTGAGGTCAGAGGAATACAGCTGTGAAGAGGGGCCATTGCCAGAAACGTTGCCTATTAGAAACATTGAGGCAGTGTTATTAAGGAATGTGTTGAGTGTTTTGTCTTATTTGTGCTTGTGCACTGCTGCCAATGCAGCATTACCAAGACATGTTTTATCTTGGCTTGCTGTTTGAAAAATGGTGCTTTTGTTTCTTTCAGTGCGAGACGAGTCAAAAAGATCGTCCACGTGCAATCTGTGACTTCGTGTACAAGACCCGAGTTCATTCTAAAACCCATAGCGCTCCCTATAAGGTGCCACGCATAAGCACATCACATGACCCTCACTTCCTGCTGCACCTCCAAAGCAGGCCCTCAGAATCAACCTCCGCAACAGTGGATGTGATTACACACAGGCAGAGATGTTTCTTCACAGTTTATATTAAGGCAAAGGCCTTCTTGAAGTAGGTGACCTGCAATGCTGGGATACATGTGTGTTCACACGAAAATAGCATCCTCACATGTTTAGATAAAGTAGCTTTTGGCTAGCCATCGAACAAAGATGGTCACTGCATCACTTGCTTTCGGATGCGCTTCTTTGAAACTGCTTTTTGTGTTTAGTTTGTTGTCCTTCCCCCGCACCTCTGATTGGCACGTTGGCTATTTACGGTGTAAAAAAAGTTCACCATACATACAACATGGATAATGGATTTTAACAATTGTTTGTACGTCCAGAATTATGGATTTGTAGTTGCAACATACGTTCGGCTACGTATGGTGCAAAATAAGTTCAACGTACATACATATAAGAAGTGAAAAAGTTTCTGAGGACTTGAATCCAAGTGATAGGCAAAATCCTCCTCAAGACTGATGTTTGCACATGTTTAGCCAACTATAACAGGGATAGGGTACTGTAATGTGCAAACCATTCATGACACAGTTCTACATGAACCTAATTTAGTGGTAATATATAAGATCATGATTTGCAGGGAGACACGTCTAAGTTTGATGTAGTGGATTGAATCCTTTTTTTTTCTGACAAAAATTATTCAACTATCCTGCTGAAGTGTTTCAGTATAAAGAGGCAAGTTATACACAGTACACATTTCCAACAGAATATGCCACATAGGCTTACAAAGATATGAAATGACCAGAACCACAAGTATATCACCACAGTCTATACACCTGACAAAGCACTGACAATTCAGCAATAGAGACAATTGCATGAGCCGGTTGCCTTTTTTGACTTTGTACAGAAATATGTTAGAATTGAATTAAATGTATTACTATTAACTGGGTCACCCTATTACATGCAATACACTGGTGATTGAGCTTAAAATGTGAAAAATGTTACTGACAAAATGTGAACATAGTCACCTGAGCGTTTCACTTTGCATGAAGTTGATAGGATGAAATAATAAAATCCCTATTTTAAATTACGATAATAGCATTCTTCAGGTGGCACGCTGGTATAGTGGTTCATGGGGAGGAATTCATCCCATGGGTTGACAAAAGGTTGTACACACGATTAATATTAATATGTTTTATACCGGAATATCATTTAGTACATCAAATGGAATTTGGCACGCGTGAAAATGTGTAGACTAACTTGTAAACTTGTGAAACAACTTGTGAACCTCCTTTGTAACCTTTCTGAAATGATGTGTGAACTTGTGGTCTATCTTGTAAAATGTGTGAACTAATTTGTCAAGGTTCTATTCGTGCACGTGGCAATATGTTCAGGAGCTAAATGCCAATGTCAAGGTTTTCTAGCCACGAGAGGGCTTCAGGGGATAGTCTGTGTAGTTTTGCCATTCCTTTGTTGAAGGAATGCAGCCTATAGTTATTTCGACATGGTCCACAGCTTTGGTTGCATGGCCGGAGTTACACTGAGGCCTGTCTTTAATTTGGCACGTATGAAGATGCGTGCAGTCGCCTGTTGATGCCCGTTTATGTTGTGATGATGGTGCTCTGATGCAGTGCATTGTGGACAGTGCCTCGTGAATTAACTTGTGAACATGTGAACCAACCTGCACCCACGCCCCGTTGGATGTGTGTTAGTTCTCGGGATAACTCCCTACTTAAGGAAGCGATCAGTGTGAACAAAAACAAGTGGAAGGCCAATGCGTCTAAAAAAGAAGCCTACAGGTCAGTGTGTGTGTTGAATTACATTACACGCACGATTGTAGTTGCTAAAATGTATGGTATTCATTTTTTATTTATTCTCCATGCCAAATTTGGTAGATATCACATGTTCCCAAACATATTGCATATCCAGTACCTGTACTGTATGTAGTTATATAATAACAACGTTGAATGCTTCATCCTTAACATTTTAATGTAATAGAACTGAATATGATTCATATTTTTGGGGGGGGTTGAATCCCTTCCACTCCATCAGTGTTGCCAACTCTGACAATTTCTCACGAGGTCTGGCGACTTTTTGGAATTCCACAATGAAAATATATTTTTTGTTAAAGCGGCGAAGAACAAATCTAACGAGGACATTATGCAGATGTAGGAGCAATTTCAGGTGTGTATTAGGGATATTCCATGAGTTTGCTAATGTGCAATACCTGGTAAATTGTCTCGAGACATATTTGATGACTGTACAACGACTATCTAGCAACATGTCGTGACTTTTTGAGATCCGTTTGGCGACATTACTCCACGTAATAACCTCTGACCTCAAGCCCTATTACCACGTGTGGCCTCTGGCACTGCTGTGTGCAGGATCTACATGAAGTGCTTCACGGATGGATCGTCAAACATTGTGGTGACGCAGAATAACTCTCCGCTCGGCTCCAACATATCCTACCTCATTGGAAACGCACAGCTCACAGTTGGAACTGAATTAACCAACATCATTCCAATGGTAACTGTTCAAGAAGACAAATATCCATAGTGCAGTAAATCCAATGTGCACGTGAAAATTAAGCCCACCATCATGCAATTGGAATACAACACCAGCAACATTTTATGTGTGTGGCATCTCAATGCAACCGCATCTCACAACGCATTATATAAGTGAGGGGCAACATTCGCGACGAAGGTGAAATGGGAAGTGGGATGAGCACAGGGATGCATTGGGAGGGGTGGTCCAATAAGTTCAATGGGAAGCTCGGGCAGCATCAACGAGTCCCAAGGGCAGTCTGCCCCAGGGGGGTATGGGGGGGGGTGATCTACAGGGACAGTCCTTTCCCCTCACCACCCTTGTGAATCGCAGTTCAGTGGTATATCAGCAAATATTATTATAATTGTCGATGGGCAGACAAGAGCCCCGAGGCATATCTTGTGGTGTAGTGTCATAATGATGACAGTGATTTTGAGTTGATATTTTGTAAATGTCTGAACTAAGTTATCAGGTGAATCACAGTATATATTGTATTGAGATGCAAAACAATTATATAATTTGAAAGAACCCCTTTTATCCGTGATGCCTAATGTCCACGAGGGTTGGGCCGATCATTCTTCATGTTTTCTGCAGGTTGCAACACTTTGCCAATCTGACGGTGGCACAAGCCCGTAATCTAGCACAGTGGTTAGCGAGGTTTGGCGGATCATACAAATGTTGTTAACCTCCCTGTCAGTGTCAAGGTTCCCACACCCTGACTTGCCAGGTGGTTCAGCTAATGCGGACTCCATCTATTCCATCTGTATGGGAATAGAGTGTTGCCCACTCTGAAATGTAAACACTCATTAATTGGCTTAATCCATCTGAATATATAGAAGGCCAGAGAGCTTGGGCAATTGTTGGTGCCGGCACATCGCTCGGCTACTGCCTTTCCGCTTGCCTGTGGTTCCTCGTGCTTCTGAGTCGTAATAATGTGTGCATTACAAGGTGACATTTTTGTGATTATAATCCACTGTTGGATGAAGACCTTCTTTCACCGTGCTGGATGTGGGGTTGTCTTGTTCACCACACTGGTGTGTGTGTGTGTGTGGGTTTGTGAAGGGGAAGACCCAGGACCAGTTCAGATACCACATGCTGTTTAGCACGTGCAAATGATGTGAGCCGTGACCAGGTATAAAATTTGAGTAGCTCAGATTTAGTGCAGCTTGATAACCACTGCAACACCAATTGTTCCACAGATTGGCACTTCCTGTTATTCACAATCTTGGATAAACTCACCTTTTTATCCACAGCACCTGTGGTGATGAGGCCATCACACAAGGGGTGGTGATAATGATGATGGCAATGGTTGAGGTGTGCGTCAAATGCACTACGATATGGCACTGCATGGAGGAGTGGTGACAGAGGTCATTCCATTGTGTTTTGGGAATAATAACAGTACCTCTATGAAACACATTGCAAATCTTTGTTTCTCATAATTGCGTGTTTTGATGTGTGAAACCCTAAGCTGAATATTTTTGTCATTGTAATTATTATTGTTTCCAGACATTTCCTGGACCTGAAATGAAAATGAAAACATGTGCTGTAGTGGGAAATTCTGGGTTTCTGCTAAACAGCAAATGTGGAAAGGAGATTGATAAGTCAGACTTCATAATGAGGTTTGTGATTAAAATCCACTCATTGAACCCACAATGCACAGCACTGCCGGTAGAGGTGCTTCCCACGTCACAGGGGTCGTTGGATTGTTTTGTGTCACTTCCCGCTGGTCAGTGCGGTTTGGTGAAGGCAGGGAGAATAGCCATAGGGGTATATAAATTACATTACAACAGAACATTTATATGCACTCCCCTTTGCTGCGCACCACAACCCTAAAACCTACAGCAACTTTGCGTGCATGGTCATTCACCCAATTGGGCACCATCAAGACTCAATTTTGCTTGGCTTCTGAGATTCAATGACGATATTTGTCTTAGTGCAACCTCCCAGTTGATGACGACTCCTTGAATAACGTGAGACGTTGCCAACCGCTCTTATGTAATGTAACACCATACTGTATGAGAAACGTATTTCCCCAATGCTCTATTCTGAAGGTCCATTGTCTTACATAACAATGTTTATTTCTGGATAAAAAAGAGAAAATAATGTTAAGCTGTCAACGTACAAATCCTATGATAGCTGTATGGGTCACCTCTTCACCAACCCGCATGGTTGTGATTAAAGCTACCTCTGCTGCATGAGGCACAGACATGCATGGTGCACATTTTTTTAAAATCACACGTCAGATGCATGAATTCTCCATACTGTAAATATTTGCTGCAACTTATTTTACTGCTACAGTTATGCTGATTGACGCGTAACTGTTATGTGTAACTCAAAGTTTAGTTTTTATCACTGTATGGTATTTTCCAAGTTATGCAATCGCGTAAAGTGATGCCAATTCATGCTACTCTTGAGCAACACGCCACCCATATGGCTTGAGTGAAGAGGCCTTTATTTATTTCATTATATCACTTTTCTTGTCACTTCACACGTGTGTGTGTCCAAGTCCCAAACGTGAAGGAAATGTCCCTTTTTAGATTCATAGTACGTCTTTGGTTTTTTTGTTGTTTTGTAACCAGGTGTAACTTGCCAAACATCAGCAAAAAATACAGCATGGACGTGGGTGAGAAGACGAACTTGGTTTTTGTGAAGCCATCTCTCATTGTCAACAAGTATGTGTACAAGGGAAATGCAAATTCCCTTAAGCAAGATTGTCATTCTTAAAAAAAGTGGCTGAAACCCCATTCTTATGTTTTATGTCATCACACTTACTGAGCAGCACCTTTTTTAATCTACGAAGACCCAGTAGGTTTAAAACTACTCCAGAGTTTGCTTGCTTAAACAAATTCTGATACAAATGGCAGCGTCTTCATGCACACATTAGCACTAGGTGGTTTCTCCTTTCTATTGGTGGACTCGAGTCAGTAATTGGAATTCTACATTTCTATGAGAAGGACCATAGTAAGTCCACTCTTAACGTCCCACAAAGTGGTACTGATTTAATTGACCTTGGAGGATAAATGTGTTGAGTTAACTGCCGGAATTGTAACCTTCAGACTGCGAGTCAAACGCTGATACCACAGCGCCCCTTGGCCAATCGATGTGCATGGACAGTCCCGCAGCATCTGAGTGAAGACAAACGTCATATTCTTTGGGTCTTTCGGTCAAGTCACGCAGATAGGTTCAAAGAAAATAACAAAACAAAAAACTACGACGCTTCGATCGCAACACAAGCGGTCGTCATCAGGAAAAGATGGGTTAGCTTCTAAAGAAAACTTTTTATAAAGGTTTGAAATTGGCGTAGCCCAAATGTCAGCAGCCAATGTTAATGTAGGTGGTGGGCAGCGACTGCCGCGGTGGTGGGTTTTCCACCAATCAAAGGGCTGCCAGGTAAAAAGTTGCTTGTTAATGTAAGATCGCCGAGCATCCTCTACGGCGAGCGCGCCAAGGGGGCGATATTAATGTGAGAGATTAGCATGTTAATGGGAGATCGCCGAGCAGCAGTATTAGTGTGAGAAATTTAATCTGTTAATGTAAAAAATCAGAGCCGACAATAACAACTAACATCGGAAGGTGGTAGGATGGGAACATCACAGCCAGTTATGACTTAAACTGGTTAATAACGTCCTTCCAATGATTGCTCAGTTTGTACCCATTTTCGGTTGAAATTGTGTCTGTGTCTATATATATGGATGGCATGAGTGTAGCTGATCATTGTTTTAATGCGGTGGTCTCACGAAATTGATTTCTCTAAGACGAAGGAACTTTGCAAACCCACTGGCTATCAACAAAGATTCGTTCATGTAGCCATGAACGAATCCTTGTTTAGTTTGAAAGCGACGGGGGGCCCACATGGCGTGATTGGCCCTGGGCCTCACATCCCCCTATGGACGGCCCTGGGTACAATGATTGACGTAACTGCATTGCCATCTGCTGACCACCACGTAGCACAACTCTACGGCCGCCGATGACCTAACGTATGTGGCGGTCACTCATCCAAGCATCCAGCCTCAAGCCTGCTCAGCTGCTGAGATCTGAAGAGATCGGGCGAATTCTGGGTGATTCAGTCATACACAGTGTCCGTGTGGCTGTATAATTACTCTTTGGCACCACGTCCGTGGAAGGAGTGCGCACTATTTTACTGATTAAAGCTTGCTGTGCGAGCTGTTCTGTCTCAGCACTATGGTTCTCAGTCACCCCACATGTCGTTCTCCTGTATGACTGGCTTCATTAGGCTTGACTCTGCGAATATTGCTGTTGCAGGTACTCGGGCCTGAGGGACAGCAGGATTAAATTCGTGGAAGACATGCAGAAGTACGGCAGTGACTTCCTCTTCACTGCTTTCAATCACTTGACTCACACCAACCTCGCTTACAAGGTATTGGTTGAATAAGGAAATTGTAGACTACTGCAATGATTCAGACATATTTCATAGTCCTAGTTTCCATGATTGTTTTCACAACAGGCCAATCAGCATGAACAACATTCGTCAGTGTCGCTGCTGCTCAAATAAGGTGCTTAAATTGTTTAATATCTATTGAGATATACCATATGTATTAAAACATTCTCAGCTTACTCAATACATCCCAAATCCGTACTATGATGAACAAACATCCATCCCCAATATCTACCCAACCTTCCTTTTAATTTCTATTGGTTTTTGTATCTGGACCCATCGTGTAACCGATAAACTCACGATACCACATCCACGTAAGACACACCAGAATACGGTGCATTATATTACATGTGGTTATGAAAGCTATTGATCGACAAATAACAATTTTCAACAACAACAAAAAGAACATTGGAAGCATCCAGGAATTTAATTCATATGCCAGACCTCTCTGTATGCAGCCCCAGATGTGACTTCCGTGACTCTAATTTCCCCACATCTCTCTCAGGCTTTTTACACCATGGATGACTTTGCCACAGGGCAGTCCATCCTCTTCCTAAACCCCAATTACTCACGTGGGCTCAGAGCACTGTGGAACCACCAAGGCCTTGCTTCCAAGTACCTCTCCGCGGGCCTCCACATGACGAGCGCTGCCCTGGAAGCCTGCGAGGAGGTGCACCTCTTTGGCTTCTGGCCCATGGAAATCGCGTCGGTGAATCGCCGTGGTCGCCGGGGCAGAAGGTCCAGGACCTCCATCGTGACCGTCCGGCACAGCTACTTTGAACAAAGCGACCAGGAATCAAAGGTCAAGGAAGTCTTTGATCTCAAGATGGAATTTGCACACCTGCTGAGGCTGCACACCAATGGCATCATCCGTCTCCAGCTGGGCGCCTGTGCGGTGTAATGTAAAGTTTGAGGTAGCAACAACCGCTGAAATTGTGTTGAATGATTTTAACGTAACTCGCGTAACAATGGGGCATATTGCTCATACTTGCCACAGTGAGCTTGGAATCATTGTATTTAAATGTTTTTTAAATATATTTTTGGAAGATGTTATTTTCTCCCAGTGTCTCTTCAAAAGATGAAGAATCCATTTGGAATTCTGACAACAGTGCGCCCCCTTGTCAGAGAATGGCTATGGAACAGATTTTTCGCAATACTTCTGAAAAAAATATTATTTTTGTATCCCGAACACAGGAGTTAACTCTTTCCAATATACTGTTGAGATTGCTTTTTCTACGACAAAGTCAATGCATTTTTTTTACATTACAGATATATTTAATTATAGCCGAAATTAAGTACCAAATGTAATTTTGGTGGAGTCATTGGTGACCTGGTTGAGACCATTAACTCGGTACACTTGAGAACCCAGAGGCAGGCTGAACCGGATTCAAGCTGAAGATCTCAGTGGAACCTGACCTCTGAACCACCCAGCCGCCATGGTATTGTGGGATTTTAAGTGACTTCCACACATGATTCAGCATGAATGCGATGTCTCATGAATAGAGTACAATATTTGCAGGAAACATCAGTTATTTTCTCATGATGCATTCGATAAAGTCGTATTTTATTAATTATACATCTCTGCCCGCTAGTAATTGAATGAGACTGCTTCTGTTCTGATTTAATTGACAGAGCTAAATGATTAAAAAATTCATGATTTTGTGCAACCATTCCACAGTACTGTCTGTACACAGTATTTAAATATTGTCACCATATGAAAATGCTCGTAGTATTGAATTTTAGGTGGAGGGTTTTGTTTAATGTTTTTGTCAAATGCCTTAAGTTATTTTACATGACGCTGTCTTACAAAATGTGATATATAAGTAGATTTCTGTGAAGGAAGGGACATATCTCGATCTCTCGCAGCGACTTGGAGACGGCAATAAGTGGGGGAAAGACTCACTCATTTCTGCTCTGCCTAACCCAAGATTGATGCACAGCAAGTTTATTTAAAAATGAAGTGCATTTTTTCATCACTGAGAGGTAATAAAGACTAAAATTTCGCCAGCTGGCCTTATTCGGGAAATAATACATAATCTTGATTTGAGGCTTGAACACGTATACCAGGCTCTCAGGAGGAATGGATATTCTGACCGCACAATCCGCAAAGCTGTATCCCCAACCATGGGTAGAGAACCATCTGAGGACCTAATCAAAACCATCCCCTTACCATACATAGCAGGGGTCACCAAAAGGATTGCCAAAATCTTAAACAAACTCAAGATCCAAGTTCGGTTCAATACAGTACACAATCCGTGATTTGATCCCATCGGTGAAGGATGCGATTCCGGACATGCAATGTCCTGGTGTCTATAAGCTGAGTTGTGTCTGCGGCAGCAGTTTAATTGGTGAAACGAAGCGACGTGTCTCAGACCGGGTTCGCGAACACAAAGCGGATTTCAAACACGGCAGAACCAACTCCTCGGCGGTGGCGAATCATTGTTTCAACGCTGTGGGCACACGTGACATTGTTTTTTCCGAGACCAAGGTGCTCTGCAAACCCTCGGGCCACCTTCAGAGATTTGTTCATGAAGCCATCCAGATATACAAACAGACAAAACTTTAATCGAGAAGATGGATTCAGATTGAGCAATCATTGGAAAGATGTGATAAACCACGTCAAGTCTGAACTGCTATGATTTTCACTCACCCACCCGATTGTCGTCCGATTACGACTTGAACTACAAGTCCATTTACTTGCTAATTTCTCTAGCCCCACCCATCCATGCACGACACAAACCTTCCCCCCCTCCCCTGTGAACTCCTAGAGCCAAACTCCCCCCTCTCCCATCCCGTGCCTATATAATGCCACGAGCAGATCATTTTCCTGCGCTCTGGTCGGATGAAAGCCCAGCCCTTGAGTGAAAGCATCGGCCGCACTGTGGGCAACAGTTACTCGTTTGCTGGATTGTATTTGTGTTATACAAGTTCACCAGTTCGGAACATGGTGTCAGGTAAGGGTCAGACTGCACATGGCTCGGGAGTGGTGGATTCAGGAGTGATACAAGTCCTCTTTAACATGAATTCTTACACTTGCAGATGCGTGTTTAAAATTCTGTAGCCTACTGCAAGATAACTGAAAAAACAATTGGTGGTACTTGTTTGGTTTGGAATGTATCAGCTCCAATACTGCGTTTAAGCGAGACATTGAAAATGTACTGCACTGCATCGATATACACGTTGTGCATCTCATTTAAATAATGTACCCAGCATATGAGAACTAGAAGCATCTCCAGATGCTGTACATAGCAACATGCATAACCCAAACCTTTTGTTTTTTAATAAACAAAACCATTTAAATGCAATGCATGATACGCATGGAGGTTGAGTTTGCAATAGATCTTCAGTGATAAGGGGCATTGTCATGTGGACTGATGAACGTGTTCAGTATTGGCGTCTTTTGGAATAAAAATGTGTTTTCAACGATTCTCATTGAGAAACTTGTAGTGTTCTATTTTCTATCAGAGTTAATACTGTTAAGCTGGTGAGTGAATCTAGGCTTAATGTGTAAGGTAGAGTCTGGGACAAGTCTTGTGCAACACGTTTAATAATTTCTTTGGTTCGTGGCGTCATTGATTATCATTTAAGATTGTAAATCATTCTTTGAAATTACGCGCGAGTTAAGTCACGTTGCATTTACGCAGTTAAAATATATTTTACTCGGTTACAGTTAGAGGTTAAATTACTCAGACATCTGGTGCTAAGCAGCATGTAATGATAGATTAATGCAACATTCCCACACCTCATTGCTGTGTAAAGTGGAGTGTATTGAATTCAGGGGAACAGTAATACTGACAAACGATAGACTGAGTACCGTACCTGGAACAATGTTATCACTAGCCGTCGGAAGCCAAAGGCGTGGTGCATTGGCAAACATCACCCCCCCTTGTGCAAGGTTCTGGGCCGAATCGGTGCTAACAACATGTGCCCAATATAAAAGATGAGTTGAACAAGACGACAAAGTAAAAATGCTGCAAGAGGAATTACATGTGATGAAATAGATTGGGGAAAACATTTGGCACTCATTCACCATCCATTGTCAAATAATGCATCCACGTTGGAAATTACCATCAAGCAGTGATTACATATGCAGTGTCCACTGTAATAGAAACTTTAAAATATATATATACACTTACATAGATTAAAATACACGTGACAACACTTCAAAACATCTGGTTCACATGCTTTATTTTACATATGAAAACTTACCACAAATGAAATCTAGAACATAAATTCACTCCCAACAACATTGGTAACATTTTAATTATGCAACATGGCAACCAATTCTACCCATACTTCACGTTCAAAACAAGCGCCAGATGCTTAATACCTGTAGGTAAGTTCACACAAGCAAACAAAAGCTTAAACATGAAATAAAACATATGCATAACATGCACTAAGGATTGTCGTTCTATAATTATTACTTGAGAATATGGATGTTTTCCTTAAGCCATCTTTGCTATTGTTGTTTCTGTACCAGACTTACAATTGCATGTTTCCCAAAACATTTTCCCACCATCCCCTGCAAAAAACCTCAACATCTTAAAAACAAAACTGCAAGCTACTTTTATTATTTCAATAAGTCAAAAAGTTTTTTACTGAATTCTAAATTCCCAACTTAGCTTCCAAACTTCAAAACCAAAACACACACCACACTACGTAATAAAGCTTACGTTTCTGCATGTGCAAGTGTTGGCCAGTGCAGCCTGCTTGCAAAGTGCATTGTTTACACTAATCATAAACTATCTCATCTATGCAACAAGTTAAAACGAAGGACTTCTTACCAGACTACACACTTACTGTGTCCTCTAATATTAAAGAGCTTTTTGTAATATTTCCGTGCTTTTTCATAGCACAAAGAAAACCCATCCCACAATAACTGCCCAATGAGCCAGACTCCTCGAAATACAGTTACAGCATGTGGCGTTTACACCTCCAATGGTTATCACATGGTTACTGTGAGCTCTGTAATGGTCCTGCTTCTGGAAAAAAAAAGTGCAGTATGCTCTACAGAAAAAAATATTATTTTAACATTCGTTTAGTTTAATAAATGTAATGGCTTGTGATGTCTACCTATGAGAATATCCCTTTTAATGCCTTGGAACTTGTAAATTAATTGTGTGGCTTTGGTTTAGGATCAGGCACTGCTAACATGGGGCTCCTAGATTCACTCTTTACTTAAAGGTTGAGATACAAGCACAGCAGCAGCAGCAGCATGACAAGGAAATGCATATTAAGTTCAACCTGAAGAGAGTTGTCTTAGTGGCATGCAGCGAGAGACAGGTGTAAAAGGTATGAGGGGGTGCACTGAGTAAGCAGGACAGCGAGCCAGGCCACAGTGAGCCACAGAGGGGCGCTCACGAGTCCTTTTCGCCCTTGAGCACATGGGCTGCTATGTTGGTAGCAGCCTTGGTAGCTGAAAAACACACAAACATCCCTCTAACTCCACAACATCTACCACCTTTGTAACTAGAATAACTTTAGAGACTACTTCTTGTGTAGTTTTTTGAACAAAATAAAATATGCTAAACCGTTTAATTAAACACTTTCATTATATTTGGCTAATATTGCTTCACATCCAAATCACAATTTTAAAAAATGGATATTGGTGAAGTCTTGACATCCATGCCACAGCAGCAGTGACTTGGACAGGTGGAGTGACTTGTTAATTAACTGCACTGTAGGTTAATTTATTTGCTTTCCAATGTGGTCTTCACAGAATTAAATTCCAGTCATGGTCATTGGTTCTCCGAAACATCAAACGATGGAATACTTACTAACAAAATGGAGACAATGGAATTAGAGGCCTGGATGTGTCCATGCTAATGCTTCAATGCCTTCAAGATCCAGCCGGGTCTATGGGAATTTAAATACTGTTCCAGTCATTGTTCCATAAGGGATTTGTAAAATAATTATGGAAGAATTATACCGTCATTTTAATCCATTGCTTTAACCAGCTGCAAGAAAGATAGCTTATGCATTATGTAAACAAAATATTTGCATTGGTTGAAGTTGAAAATGGCACATTACAATACTAAGATGCATTTAAAATGGATTTAAGCAAGCTACGCTTCAATAAATATTGTACGACCAAAGGTGAACATACAATAGACTTTAATGTATGCTTGTTTTACTTTAAAATTGGACTGCAATTCTAGTGCATCTTCCTGAGTATCCATCAGCTGTGCCAATATTTCACGATAAACATGTATTTGTTTTGCACATAGTTACTAACACAAAACAAATTCACGGTTCCAGCAAAGTCAAGGGCACAGAATACAAAAAGTAAACAATGTAAATAAATTCTGAGCTGGGCCAATTCTTTATGTTTAAAATAAATGCAATAAACAAACGACTTCAGTATTAGCCTATCAAAAAAATGAATGTGATGACAGAATGACTTAAGATTTTAAAACATGCTATCTTCAACTTGATTTTAAAAAGATATGAATATAAATATAGTGGAAGTGTTATACAGAATGAAGGGAAAGTAAAAATATTAGTGGTGACAAAGTCAAGCGTTGCGAACATCTGCATTACTTCTAAGCCTTCACATCAACCGGGGGAAACATTCTGAGAACAGACACACTTTGGAAAGAGTACTCGTACATTTACTGTGTCTTTAGTGTACCAGCGCAAATGTGACATTAAAAAAATAGTTTTTTAAATCAAATTCACACAAGTGACTTTTTAGCGTGTGTCATAGGGGTTCGCAACTCCCAAAGTTAAACCACGGAGAAGAAATGTGGATTGTTGGAAGGTTACACCAGGCAGTTATAAATATCAAAAAGCCTGCAAGTGGTCTAGTAATTAGATGTAGTGTGCACAGTCTGCACTCTGCAAAGGCATTTAAATACAGACTTCAGCTAATGCAAGAACTTCACTTTGACCAAGTTTGCTATACTTATTAGGGGACAGGTCTAAAGTAGATTTACAGGATTTAAATACGTACAATTTTGCAATGTGTTCCTCAGTATTCTTATCAGGAATGTCTGGAAAATTCTCACTCTCTCAAAATTGTAAGTGCACTGGAGGTTGCTGTCATACGATCAACTAAGATTTAATCAGGGTTTGAGACTCTCATGAGACAGCTGAGAGGCATTACAAGGATGACCCATAGGTGTTACCACACAGCTGTTTATCAAAATTTAGGTCACCACGAATGATGGGCATTTGAAATTCTCATAATATAATGCCAAAACAATGATGACTCATACTGATCACCTTCCTCAACCACCACTCAACCTCTTCACAACACTCATAACCCACTGTGTAAACCCTAAGAGGCAGAACACAACCTATATCAGAAGTCCTTTGGGATGCAGATGTGCATTTGGATTTATCAAAAGTTAAACAATGAGGACCTGGCTTGTGCACAATACTCATTTCCAGGTAGTGAAAACGGTCAGAGAAATTTTCACAGCCAAGAAGCACCAAGATTTTTAAGTTAACTTCTGTCTGGCAATATAGCCCCGTAAAGCCCTCACTGCTCAAGCCACGTGCACCCGCTGTAGGGGGAAGAGGTTACCATCCTTCGTGATGGCGTCGGCCGCCTCCTTGGCCTTCTTGCCCAGGTTGTTGGCTATGTCGTCCAGCTTGCCCTCATGCTTCAGAAACCATGGGCGGATGAGGAGCGTGTAGATTTTCTGCGCGCCATTATACTTGACGGGTGCCATGCACCACACAAGGAACACGCACTGAGGGGGAAGGAGGCGAGCTCATTCAGACCACTTATCACAGCTCTAACACAGGATGACAAGGATGTCACTGCCTCACTACAATTACATGTGTAATGACGACTAGACACACTTATCTTGAGATGGCACTTTATTGAAGGCGGAGATCCCACTGCAACAGTCCCGAGTCTCCCACGCATCTCCCTTATATATCAACACGAGGCCATGCCCCCCTTCTCGATCATTCTCGCTGACTCTGGATGCTTCCTTTACTGGCAGACTCTACCGTCCTCTTCCGTCACCTGACCATGCTCCCTTTTCGAACATTCCCATAGCCACCAGTCCCTTCGCACTCACAACTGATACCCCCCCTGTCATTACCTCCCGTGGCCAATAGTGCATCCGTACTGTAAGCCGATTTCCCTGTCATTACCTCCTGTGGCCACTAGTGCATTCATACTGTCGGCTGACCTCGCTGTCATTAACTCCTGCGGCCATTATTCCCTCACACTGCATGCAAGCTCTATTGTCATTACACACGTAGCCCGGCAAATGTGTGAAACATTTGTAAGAATTATACCTTTGATCATAAAAGCATTAATTTCTGTCCAGATAGGGCAGGCCCTAATAAGGACGTTTGGCTGTTGGGAAAATCGCATATTTTTCCTACGACAACTTTGAAAAAGTGGTGAAAACTGCCACAGGACATACCTTTATGAAGTAGTAGAAGGGAACCCAGTAGAGGAAGATGTCAGA